AAAAATGGGGACCGAATCCTGAAAATGTATATATAGCATAATCAGCACCGAAGCGAATAAATATCATGAAAAGCACACTTTGATACTTGAAAACTTACGTACCAGGGAACCTGTAGGCGCCTCCATAAGGGGGCACAGATGGAGGGAAGTATTGAGAAAATGGATAAGGCGGCGGCGGCAGGGGCCTGATAAATCTGGGAACAGATCTGAGTGGCATATGCATATTCCTACCTTTGAAACTTCTCCTATGAATGTTCCAATCTCGATTCCCATAACTATCTCCACCATGCTGCATATGCCTCCTTTGTGTATTGTGGTTTTTAGAGGAGTTTTGAATCCCAGTTGCACCCGTGGGACCTTCAAATTCACAAGGTTGCTGGTGATTGCCATTAACGTTATGTGAAACGAAATTACTCATCTGGCTACTTGTCATCGGATTATAAGATGGGCTTCCACTACCCTATAAAATAATATGAAGATATTAAAACAAAATGCGTAAAAAAGAAATAAATAAATTAAATAATAGCGGCAAGATGATTATCGGTGTCTAATAGTTCCATCACAAATCACAAGATGCATGAGAAAAAAGAAACCTACGTAGTACTATTCAATTTCGACTTGAAAGTTATCAATAACGAGCTCTCACTTATTGGGATGTTTCCAGGCATTGAAAATTGAACAGAAAACTATCGCCGAAATTAAACCCGAAGTGAAAGAAAAAACCAAACCTGCATGAGAGCTGATCCGTCAATCGAAACATTAGATGATCTTGGAGACAATTTCACCGTAGTTGTGATAGATGAGGCTGATGAAGAAGACGTGTCAACGATGGACACTGTAACGTTAGAGGCTGCCTCGTGAGAGGAAGGGCTTATCAGAACTTCTAGGCCCTTGGCCCCGGTGCGGAGCATAGAGCTAGAATCATGAGCTGGCCACGAAGGGGGTGCAGCTGGTGAACAATCAATGATTGTCACCGGTGTTGACGATGTAGTAACAGAATCACAGGACTTCAAGTCATTATGATCGTCTGCAGATGAAGATTCAACGAGAGTCACCGTTGGCGACAGCGACAGAGATGCGGAGGAATAAGCTGTAACAGGAGCATTAGATTCTTTGACTAAAAATTCTGTGCAGAAAAATTTGGTATCATTTTCAGTGCTGCTGCTATCATTATCAAAGCGAGGGCGAATCGAATGGACGGGCGAGGCTATGTCCATAACGTGCTCACAACAAGAATGGCAAAAAAATGTCAGAAAGAGAACGCAGAAATGTAGTCTTGAAATCTTCACCGAAATTGAAGAACTCCTGAATTCTCGCACCCTCTTTTCCGGATTCACTTGAAGAGGCTTGATTTGATTTCTTAAAACAAGTGACTGGATCGTCACATTATAAATTTAAATTGGTGTTTATTATTATTTTTTAGATATATAATAAGATCATGTAATCTCAGTTTCAGATGAGATTCGGATGCCTAGGGATAATATATTTTTTGAAATTATTTTGATAACAATTCAATTTCAAAATTTTATTTTAATTTACAAATCTAGCTTATATATATATATATATATACATATATAACTAAATTTTAATTCTTGTACAATTCTCATGACTTAAAGATATTGTTATTTTTCAATTTTATATTGGTCAATTCACATAATTCGGGGCCTTTCTGGCCAAAAAATTAATTTAGGGTCTTAATTTTGTACGTTTTATTTAATTTCGTTTTATGTATTAGTGATCTCAAAAATAAATCTTTTCTTTTTGTTTAAATATAACGAGATTTAACTCTTTATATTTTGTAGTTATATTCTATATATAATAAATAAGGCTAACTAAACGAGAAGAATTAATAAAAAAAGTGAATAATAATTAGCTAAAAAATATCATAAAAATTTAAAGTTGCTAAAATATTATCAAGTCGATCGACTGGTAAGAAGTATTTATTATAATTTTTAATTTTAGTACGAAATTAGAATTTTTTGTTATTGCTTTTATTTTTGCCCGGCATGCTGAAGTATTTGTTCAAGATCATTTAGGGAGATATTTATTTAATGACAAGTAAGATACCTAGAATTTAAAATGTCATAAAGATAAATATCAGAGATCTCCACTCTTTTTTTGGCCAAAAGAGATCTTTATTTTTTGAGAAAACTGTGATAAAAAAATATTTTTAACTTTTCAATATTGTATTGGATGCAGTAGTTTTTGTTAAAAAATATATTTTTGCCTTAAAAATTACTTATAATTTCAGTCATATTTTTTTTCTTTAAAAATATTTTTTAAATACGATGGATTGATCATGTGTAGTTTCTAATATCATTTGTAGGACCTTCAAAGACAAATAAAAAATATTAAATATTAATCAATAATTAAAGTGAAAAATAAATATAGTAAAATATCCTCTCATAGATATTATACACAATAAAATATTTTTTATAAAAGGTAGAAAATATATGCAATAAAAAATTACTAACATAAAGTCACCACTGAAAAAAGATTAAACAAGTTAGTAATTAGTCACTGAAAATTCTCTGCAAACACTAAAACTGAATTGAAATACAATAAAATACTCCCTCTGTCTTAAATTAGAAGATAATTTTAGATAAAAAATTTTATATCAGTAAACTTCATTAAATATACTTAATAACCTTATTTTTTCTAAATAAAAATATAAACTTTTAAAATATCAATAATTTAATATATTGAAAAGAGAAGGTATAAAAATTAATTATAGAGAGAAAGGGTAATATTGAAATTAATATATTTAATGAAACCTTAATTTATTCAAAGTGTTTTTATATTTTGGGATGAAAAAACTCTTTTAAAAGTACCCTATAATTTAGGATGAAAGGAGTATATTCAAGCCCTTTATATAGAATAGATTTCAGAATCAAATTGAATTTTTTTTTTGTTGAATGGTCTTAGATAAAGAGCATTCCTCTAAGATAATTCAAGGATATTTAACTTGAAAAAAATAAGATTCAAAATCATACGTTTGTTAGAATTAATTCTACGAGTTTACATTTTTAAACTTGGGGAGTGTATTCATTTTTTGTGTTCAATATTTCAAGAAAATTTTCCACTAAAAAGGAGAAATACAAATTTTGAATGGTGTGCGTTTAATGAAACCGGGATCTTATTTGAGGACATTATGATTGAGAAAATGGCTTTGAATTATGTATTTATGTATCAAATGACATGTTAGATGTTGGAACATGATATCATTTTTAGTCGTAGTCTTCTTGATCTATAAAATTGTAGCATATTCACCGCCAGCCATCTATTCAAATATACAGAGAATAACAACATTAGGTTCTAAAATAATGAGTAGCTAATTGTGCTATATCTACAAAATAGAGAATATTAGACACCAATAATTATTTTGGAACGTAATTAATGATGTCATTCTCTACTGAGGCCTCGTTTGGTATGATTGAATAGTTTTTGATAGAATTGGAATCGAAATTGAAATTAGAATTAGAATCAGAATTGGAATAGAATTGAATTACAAAAATATGTTTGGTATGTCAGAAAAATTAGATGTAATCCTTACATTATTTTTATTTGGTACGTAAGACATGGAAATGAAATTATACTTAAAAGACAAAAATATCCCTATATAGAAATTAAAATAAAACATAATAAAAGCTTAATTGTGTTTCAATTTCCTTATGTATTTTATATGTTAATGAAATATTATATAGATGATAAATATTATATATAAGTAAAATATTTTACAAAAATATTTTAATTTCCTCACATGTTTAGTATATAAATAAAATATTAGATAGATGATAAATATTATATATAAGTAAAATATTTCATAGAAGAAATATTATAAATACATATATCGTATTATATTTTACACATACACACATATATTATAATTGGGTGTGGTCATTTTTGGGTATGGTTAGGGTTATATGTTTTTAGGGCAAAATTGTCTTTCTATAATTTTTATGAGGGTAAAAGTGTTTTAAAAGTCACAATTCTATAGAATTGCCCTTGATTCCATAGCTTTAAATAAAGAATCCAATTCAATCTATTTTCATGGAATTGGGATTTTTGGGAATTATGATTCATGTCTACCAAATATTACTTTATTTAAATTCTTTTTCCAATTCCATTTCCATTTCTACAATTCCAATCTACCAAACATGGCCTGAATCTCTAGTTCAAAATCCTGATCATGACTTCTTATTTTATCTTCTATACATAATTGATGCAGGCAAGTGAATCGAGGATACCAAGAAGCTAGCTATTTTCCATGGAGTGGAAAGGGTAAATATTGTATTTCTGCCACCTCACCTTTTCCTAATTTCATTCAATAGTAGATGTAATGACATTCCATTTATAATCTAAATCACAAGTTTGTAAATCATTTTTTTTATTATAGAGACAGAAAAGAAGGCGATAAAAATTGAAGCAGACCTCTTGCAGAGCCTCAGTTAAACCTCTTATGTGGTAGACACTTGAAAGTTGAATCACGTGTGATGCCACTTTTTACGTGATTCAACTTTTAGGAGTGTTTATGGTGAGAAGCTTCTTCCATCAGGCAGGGAAACTGAGGTCCATCAAGGCAACTCAGGACTGTGAAACTCTTCCACAGAGGCCATTTTTTCATGCCATTTTAATATTTTAATTATAAATGGCACATGTCGAATAGTTCAATAGTCCTTCCTTTTCTATATATAAAAGAAACAATTACTTGTTGTTTTGTTTTTATTTTTAAGCAAAATTAGATATCTTAATAAATATTTATTACAATTTTTTAAAATTATTCTCATAAACTCATAAGCTTCATTCACAAGAAACAATTCATGTAGTTTTATTTTGATTGAATACAATAGTATTTTAGTCCAATTTTTTTTTTCTCTAGATACAATTTTTATCATTAATTGATTTTTTTTAAAAATGTATAATACATTATTTTTTCTTATATATAAAAACGGAAGGAGAATGTGCTAAAAAACAGCATAGTTAAGTATAGAAATGATCATTAAGGGAAAGGGCTTGAGCCTCACGTTATGAAGTTGGGTAAGTGACAAGTCGAATTGAGATGTGAAACATCTCAAGACCATTTTCTAGATTCATTACACAAGATATGCTTGAACTTCATTGCATTGAGAACATACAGTTGTGAGGGAAGACAAGTAATTCTGAAGCCATTTCACAAGACATGCTTTCAACATCATTCTCTTTTTGTGGGAGCTCGTAGTTTAACTTCGGAATTAGACAGAACAGGACTTCCTAATTGACCGCCCTGCAGTCCCTCCTGATCTCTCGCCCGCCATTTAAGCTGCTCATTTTGATCATGGACTTCACAAAAGCCCTGTAAAATGCCTCTTTCGAAGTAGCAAACTCAGAAACCATATTCTCGGTCTCTGTGGCTGTAAGCAGAGCTTGATCAGAAGAAAAGAGGCCCTTCCCTTGGAGAACCAACTCGTAATAAGTATTATCAAAAGTAGTTGCGGAAGGATCCATGGTGATGCCAGCATTCTTTGGCGTATTTTTGACCGGACATATTGATTTTAGCTTTGCCGCAAATGATGGACTCAATGAAGGGTCCACATCGTGTTTGGCATCAAAATTTTGGATTCTGTTCCTGAAGGATGAGCAGTGAGAGAAACCTAAAGTATGTCCGCCTGCACAAGGATCAAAAGACAATATTACTCTAATAAACTGTTTCTGAGGAACCTATTGGGAAGCAGTTTGGGCCCTCTGCTTAACTTACCTGAAAGAGCTACCAAGTCTTCCAATGAAAGGCCTCTCTGAGCGAAGTTATTCTGCAGTTGTGAGATGTTGAAAGTTGGTGCTGGCAGTAGAAAGCTTTCACTGGCCTTCGATATTCTTCCATCCTTTCTTCCTTTGGGAACATCCCAATAAGGACCTCCAGACTGCAGAAAAAAAGTGCTCTCATATTCTTTTATACTGTCAAAGGTTGCATATTCATGATAAATCTTAAAAGGATTTGTACATTAAGCCAATCATAAATGAAGATGTCAGCGTGCCAAAGATGAGATGACTTAAATACCCATGTAACATGAACTATGGCTGTACTCATTAGTGCTTAAGGGCATAATAGTTCCATAGAAATAGTATAACAAGAAGGGGGAAAATTTGTACTCAGCAATTTGTTTTAATTTCTTACCAGAAAAACTGCATCCCTGGCTGCTAGAGCTAGGATATCAGCACAAGAGACTACACCGGGGCATGAAGCTTCTACTGCTTGCTTGGTATTATCAATAACATAGAACGCGTGCAAGGAAATGTTTGGCGGTCCGTCTTTTTCTGCTTTGTGCTTCGCTGTTGAGTTTAGAAGCACTGAGGCGTCACATCCCTTCAGAAAAGAGAGGAAAAAATCAGTTCAAATGATAAAAGTACAAAGGGACGAAGGTGAGGTTTTTTGAATCATTACCCTGATGAAACAATCATGAAAGTGCATTCTAAGAAGTGCAGCAGGAACAGTATTGTCATCAGAAGTGGCCTTCTTCACAGTCTTGGCAACAATTGACTCCAAGTGAGGGCATGTTTTCTCATAGTAGTTTGAGCTCAGAGAAGTCCCTGTTGAAACTAATGAGAAGATGAGAATTAAGCTCAAGAAAGGAGCTATGATAGCCATGCTTGTTACTAATTTCTGCTAATTTAGCTGTAGAGATTAAAGGAACATGTCACTGCTTTTAAAGAGCAAACAGACATTAATTGGTTCTTGTCTCTGGGACTTATTGCAATATACGGTTACTATGTGGTCCCATATGATCGATTTGTTGAGCCTGATTATCAATTGAGGTGTAACCCTGTTGTTTGAGCATTCTCATCCCAAAACTTTTTCTTTAAAATACTAATTGAATCTCAGAACAGTTTGCGTGGGTGCCCGAACTCTCCATCACAACATCAATCTATCGAATATTTAAGTTAAAGTGCATCTTGTTGAATAATTAAGAAGCTTTTCATTTTATAGAACATTTGTGACGGACTTGTGGTGGTTTTGGATGTGTACATGAAGCATAAGACATAATAATAATGAACAGACCAGTTCGGGAGACAATGGTAGTTTGAGAATTAATTAAGAAGTAGCGGTGGTTATAATTGGTGTGATTGATAAAACAATGAATGGTGTGAGAAAGTGGGAAGAGGGGTAGGCCAAGGTCAGATGTGAAATAAAATTATGGCTCCATGATGTACTATTATTATAAGCTAAGGAAGGGCCATTGAATATTGCTTCCCCTCAATCATGACAGGGAATCTCAAGAGCTGTTTGATTTTCATTATCATTTCTTCTTTTCAAAAATCTGTTTTGTAATATAATTTTTAAAATAAAATAAAATAAAAATTTATTTTGTTATATCAATTAAAAAATAGTTTTAGAATTAAAAAATGGACTGATAATGATATTTATAGGTAATTACTAGTGATAGTGAATAATAAAAATTAATTAAGGTAATTATAATTTTTAATAATCAAATTTAATGTATTTTAAAAATAAGAAAAATAAAATAAAAATAATTTAAATTTTTTTCTATTTTTTAAAAAAAATAAAAAATGAAAACAGTTTTAAAAATAATTAAATGAAAAACACTTACCCCGACAAATTTTTAAATTTTTTTGTTTTTAAAAATAAAAAACAGTTTTTAAAAATAAAGAACAAACAAACCCCCAATGCCTTGTATTCAAGGTGGTTGAGGCTGAGCCATTTTCTAGTTGGTATTTTTGTCGCTTAAAATTATTAAAACTTCCATTTCATCGCTTTGTTTGCTTGTGACACTTCAAAACAATTTCGGAGCTTTCATGTTGCTCTTTGACTCACGCGTAGTCGCTTTCATCCCAATAAATAAAATATAATATAACATGACAAGCGGATAATGGACCTCACCTGCATTATATTTGGACTTCATTATTGCCCGCATCCATGTTTAGGGCTTGTTATTACTAGTATATTTGAAACATGGTTTTTTTGAAAAATATGAACATTTGAGGATCTTCAAATTAATTAGGAGATGCCAATGAAAATCAGACAGTGGGATCACTGTAAACAATTTTTTTCCCCTAGATGTGGCAGGAAAATGGGAAAGCAAGCGTTGAACGATCAGGTGCGATACTGGCTTTTTTTGGTTTCGTGAATCTCGTTGGAATCACTTATCACTGAGCTCAGTCTGATTTTTCAACGACGTCACTGAGCTCAATCCGATCTGTACTTTTTTTTTTGGCATTAAAAAAAAAATGTCATGACTTGACCTCGATGAACCAAGTGCAGAACTGAGAGCTTTGGAAAGGATAAAAAATGGAGGAATACTCGTTTTTCATGTCATTATCTTCAAGTTCGTCCCTGTTCCTCGCAAACCCATGTTAGAATTCGCCGTGTAGAAATCAACGAGATCGTGCATGAAGACCCGCCTACAAGGTGCCCGAACGCAGTATTTCATTGCAAAACGCTTTTCATTTCCCTTCTCTTTCATTTTTTGGTTTCCCCTCTAGTTGGCAAGTCATTTTTTCTCCCACAAACTTAGTTTAAAATTTATGCTCTCTTTATACGGGGAGAAAACATGAAAAGGAAATAAAAAATAAATTTTTCCATGTTTAGTTTAAAATTTTCTCGTATTATATTTTGCACCGTAGTTGGCTTATTATATTTGTCAATAATATATCATTGTATATTAGTAATAAATTTCTTATAAATTTTAAATTTTTAATAATAAATTCTTTATATAACAATGTGAGTCAGTCATACTTTTAAATTTTTAAACATTTGATCCCTATTTTTTAGATACAATATTCTTTTCAGCTAGTAGGCTAATTTATCTTTTAATAAATAACAAATGCCAACTTCTTTTCATTTGACTTAAGTACTCTGATTATTATGTTAGACTCTTAATTAAATTATTCTCATCAATACATGCTTGAACAAAACAATCGTTCAACTATCAATGGGAGTTGGGTATAATAAAAGGAATCAGTCCATCATAATATGATGAATCAAAAATCAAATCTCAATTAAGAGAAGTATTCATATTTAATACCTGACCGTACTTTAAATAAAATTGCCTAAAAAATATCTATAAGAAATTAATAAAAAAAAACTATTGTTCAACTTTGATGCCAATTTTACGTGGGGTAGAAAAAACAAAGGGGTAAATGGAGTATTGTGTATTCAAGGTGTGTTTGGTTTTTAATTTACTAAAAATTTATTTAATAAAAGTCAATTTAATAAAAATTAATTATAATAAAATTTGTGTTTGAATATATCTTTTTAAAAGTTAGTTTGATAAATTGAAAGTTGTTTGAATTAATAATGATTTGTACCTTTGAATATACAATGACAAAAAATGATATTGATTTATGATAATTTATAATTTTTATTATGTAAATGTAATATATTATAAATGTTAAAAAATGTGAAAAAAATTTTCTTTTGAATTTTCGATGAGAAAAAGGAACATTGATTAAATTATGCTGTTCTAAATTTTTTTACTCGAACAATTCCATGAAAAAATAATAATAAAATTAACATTATAAAGTTGTTCAGTCTATAAATTACATTTCTAAGGGATGACCAGTTATTTTGCCCATTTTCTTAATTAATTGATTATATTTTTAGTGGATTTAATTAATTGTATTTGACAATAAGAGTTATAAGAAAAAGTTGGAGCCAATATTTTATAAGTAAAATATCATCAGTCATTAAGCATGATTATAGCATTGGTGTAAGCCATTTCTCAAGGGTAGTGAAATAAGAGGAGAAAAGAAAAGAATAGAGATCAAGAAGTACCAAAATGCTAAATGTACATTTAAAAGGCTTTAAATAGTTATATTTTTAAAATTTATTTTCAGCCACTACTTAGGACCTATTTGGATAACACCTCAAAAACATATTTAAATCATATTTGAGATTTGCTTTTGCCAAATTTAATGAAGAGTTAGATCTCCCAGATATATTTTTGTCAAATGTAAATTGAAACTGAAATACACACTTAGAAGTGCTTTTAGAAAGTGTTTTTTAAAAATATTTTATTTAAATAATTTTTAACATTTTAAAAGTAAAATTTTACTTTTTCAAATGTAAAAAGCAAGATATTCAGACGGATCCTGAAATGATTTCCCGTGAACCAAATTTTAGAATTGTGGGCTTGGTTGTGTCGAAGGCCCAAAATCATGGGCCAATATGCATGGGCATGTTACGATTCAGCGGACCAGTATGCTTCGGCCTTGTAGTCAGGTGGACCATTCCATCCTTTTGGTTTGTTTCCACAACTCAAGAAAACGTTCTTTTCCTACGGCGATGCTTCAGCCCCGCCAAAACTAACAACTTTACAGGCGAAAACCCTAGCGTTTTGAAAGCCACGGACATTTCCTCTGTCTGAGCTTCAGCGTGCATACCACTGTTTAACTCACATGGGATCCGAAAAGCGCTTCTTGGAGAGGATGAAGAAGAACAAGAAGCACAAGAAGAACAATCATGATACTTTGAATTCCTCTGCTTCATCTGTTGTGCCAGAAAAGGATGGTGGAGGGAAAGAAACCATCCGCGTCGGCAAGGTCATAGCCGACCCTCGGTTTTCATCTCTGCACACTGACCCTCGGTTCCGAGAGCCTCCGAAGCGCAAAACGAAAGTGGCGATTGACTCGCGATTTGATCGCATCTTCACTGATAAGAGCTTCTTACCGTCTTCTGCTCCAGTGGACAAGAGAGGGAAACTCAGGAAGCAAAATTTGCGGCAGAGTTCGCTTCGCCATTATTATAAAATGGATGAAGAAGGAAACCAGGAAGAGGATGTAGAGGAGGGAAGCGACGAAGAAGACAAGGAGGAAGAAAAAGGACAGAGATTGGTTGAACCTGGGAGGGGGACACCTGCCGAAGAGTCATCTGAATCCGAAGACGAGAACAATGCCTGTGAACTGGGATCCTCTACAGATACAGATGGAGATGAAAGTGCTGATGAGGAGTTGCCTGAGAGGCAGGTATGCTTTTTAGCTTAATTTTGGAATTCTGAACTCTTTTTATAAACAATTGGAAGGCGTTTACGAACGTCACCAACTGTGCCAGTTACGTGTGTACGCGATGAGTTCTTCAAAGAATTCGTGCATAGTTCCTCGGAACTTCGTTATCCTAACTTGACAAAGGGGAAAGGGGTGAGAGTTTGTATGGGACCACTTTCTCTTTTCTTTAAGACGATTAAATAATTGAGGATGTTTACTCAGGATTCTTTGTTGGTTGTGGCTAAACTCTGCAAACTTTGGTTTGTCCCTCAGTTTTTTTTTTAAAATTAATATTTTTGACATTTTCTTTATGGGATTATTCTGTGGACAGGAGGAGGTGCCAGAAATTGACAAAGAAACTCATAGGCTTGCTGTTGTTAATATGGACTGGAGATATGTTAAGGTATGCTGTTAACACTCATCTATGTAATTAATTTTGTTAAAGTGTCCGTTCATTTATTTCATATCCACCCACGGAAAATTTGACTTGTGGAATGAACTTCTTTTGGTTATAAATGAGGCATAAGTCAATGGAAAAGCCGGATCTAACCTAAGTGCGTTAGAACTTCTGTTACCTTTCTTCCAGGGAGGTATCACATGAACAAGATTTTTGGGCTGTTTAAACTGTTGATTGTTTTGCTTAGTTTCTATTTCTAGTTTCCTTTTCTTTCTTTGTTGTCTGAGGTATTTTTTTTCAATACTTCAGGCTGTTGACTTGTACGTATTATTGAGTTCATTTGTTCCACCAAATGGACAAATAAAATCTGTAGCTGTCTACCCATCTGAATTTGGCCTTCAACGTATGAAAGATGAGGAAGTTCATGGCCCTGTTGGCCTCTTTGACGATGAAGCCACTCAAAGTGACCAAGATAGCAGCGATGATGAAATTGACAATGAGAAATTGCGTGCATATGAGAAAAGCAGGATGAGGTAACCAACTTCTAAAGTTAAAATCTCGTGTTTGGAAATCTTGGTTTGATAGTCATAATGGATAAATGAAAAGCATTTTTGCTTTGATTGAGGAAACCTTCTCACTAGTAAAATTTAGCCAGTTTTATTTAAGGTTCTTAGTTTCCTGCTGTTGAACTTAACAGAAGTTTCTGTTTTCTCTTAAGTGGTTAGTACTTTAAGGAGCAGTCTATATTCATATTTGTATGTCCTAAGAATATGTTGCACGGTAATTTTTTATCCTTTACAGGAAGGTAGGGAATGATGAATATAACTAAATTAATACATTCTCATAGCCATACAGCTCCCTTGTGGCAGTTTTCTTTTATGACTAGTTAGCATGGGATCCAGTGTTGCTAATGTTATAATTCATAATCATCTCGTGATTATGTGATGGGGATAAAGGCTAAACAACCAACTTGAGGGTCATTCATATTTGTCATCTACTCTTCCATGTCATGTCTCACATCACGTCATTCATATAATGTCTTTTTGGAGGTTCTGGGTTGTTGTTGAACATTTTACTGATGGTACATGCATGATGTATCAATCATTGATAACTTGTAAAATCAACTTAGCTCTCAAAATTCCAATTTTGGTACTTATCATAGTCATGTGATAGGCATGTTTATCATGTCAGAAGCTCTCTGCCGCACTCTGTTTTCCTCTTGTTTTATGTATCTTGGTTCTTTCCTTGGCCTTCTAGGTACTATTTTGCTGTGGTGGAATGTGACTCAGTTACCACAGCAGACCACATTTACAAAGAATGTGATGGGCTGGAGTTTTTACAATCTTCTAATGCACTTGATTTACGGTTTATTCCTGATTCTATGGAAATCAAAAACTCACCTCTCGATGTTGCAACTGAGGTATTTGTTTTTATTGCCATTTTCTTTTTATTATACACATTGCATTTGTGGAATAAAGTGGGCTATTCAAAACCATATTCTTTGTTGCACAAGCGAAGGTAATTAAAGATTGAGTGTTTTCTCTCCCTAGGCTCCGGCAAACTATGAAGGCAAAGATTTCTATACTCGAGCACTTCAGCACAGTAAAGTGCATCTTTCATGGGATGAGGATGAACCTCTTCGTGCAAAGACCTTAAGACGGAAATTCAACGATGAGCAGGTTACTGTGCGTCATTTATAAGGATATTGTATTGGTCTTTCTATTATGCGCTCTTGTGTTGAATTTGGATTCTTCTTCCCATCAATTTTTCTTTTCTGTACTCTTTGATAGCTAGCTGAGTTGGAATTGACGGAACTATTGGCATCTGATGTGGGTGAAAGTGATGATGAAGATGACATTGAGACAGAGGATCATGCTGAGAAAAAGACTAGGAAACTGGAAAAATATCGTGCTTTACTTGAGTTTGGTGAGGGTTCAGATGGAGATGGTGAAGAAGATGGTCAAGATATGGAGGTAACCTTCAATACTGGTTTGGAAGACATTAGCAAACACATACTGGAAAAGAGAGATAAAAAATCAGAAACAGTTTGGGAAGCATATTTGAGGAAGAGACGTGAGAAAAAGAGGGACTGGAAAAGTAAATCAAAGCATTCATCATCTGATGATGATAATAGTGACACTGATCAAGATACAACGGAGCAAGCAGATGATTTCTTCATGGAGGAGCCTCCCATCAAGAAGAGAAAGGAGGGAAAAAGTAAACAGAAGCACCAAGTTATAGATGGGGCAGAAAAAACAACCAAAGAAGAGCTGGAGTTATTACTTGCTGATGACCAGGGGGCAAATACTGGTCTCAGGGGATATAACTTAAAGTTTAAGATGGCCAAGGGCAAAAGGGCTCAGGAAACTATTGAAGAGGCAAAAATACCAAGCGCTGACCTTGATGATCCACGTTTTGCTGCACTTTTCACTTCACGTGACTATGTTTTGGATCCCACTGAGCCACAATTTAAACGGTATCTACTGTGCAATATTACTTCTACGTTCTTTTAGACAATTTGTTGTCATTGGTTTAAACGGAATGACAGAAGTTCTAGGGTCTGCTCTTTAATATATGGGTGAAAATTAGAATATTCTATGCGTAAGATGTGTCTGTGATTGGTCTTATTTAGCTGGTTGTATTTAACTGATGATTAACTTGTATATAATATTTTCTTTCGTTGATTGCAAAGATTGACTGATCGTGATCTTCTTAATTGGACTTTTCTGGTTGCAAGATCAACTGAATTCTTTCATGCTAACATAGTGTTTTGGCCTTTGCAGGAGTGCAGTTTATGCCAGGCAGAGAGCTCATAAACTGCAGAAAGGAGATATTGACTTTTCGGCAGAAGAGAAGCACGTGAAGCTTTCAAGAGGAATTCAGTTGTCGTCTAATGATGCTGGCGTAAAGAAGGGTGACGAAGAAGGATCAGATGTTTTGCAATCTAAGGAGAAACATGAGCTATCATCATTGGTCAAATCGGTTAAGATGAAGTCAAAGCAGGTACAATTACCTTCATTGGTTCAATCTGCAAAGGGGGATGGCAATTTGCAATTTGGAGGCGTGAAGAAAAGGAATCACTAGGCTTTCTATTAGCCAATCCATATTTAACAATGGAAGTCCTCGTTGGAAATGGAGCGTCCTCTTTTCAGAAGGTAGAATATCACCTGTTCGCAAGGCATCTCTCGCCTGATTTTTTAAATCCACCTTTTGTGATGCAAGCTACATGGACATTTCATCAACCCATTTAAGTTGTTTCGCAAAGATTCGTTGAGGATCTGAAATATGCACCCGCTTTTTACGTTCCCTCGTGAATTCTGGGTGGTCAATTTATAGGGGCATTTCCTTGTACAAGAGGTTCCGTTGTCCTGCTTCTCCTATAACTGTTTGAGGATTTGAATCGGCAAAAAGTAGCGGTCGAAAAAGGGGGAACCGGCAAAAGCTAAAACGTATAAATTCTATTCTATTATATATCAACAAACTGTAAACATTATGTACAAACACATTATTCTAATAATAAGATCTAAAGAATCGGAAGCAATAATGCTTCTCTCCTGTGCTCGACCAGCCTAAATGCCTATAATGCACTTGAAAATTTTAAATAAAACGAATGCCTTTGAATTTAAGATAATACAAAATTGATTTACTAAATAATGGCTAAAAGCGGAAAAAGAACCACTATAAATATGAAAGTAAAAGGGTTTCGATAGGGTGAGCTATTTGACTGGTTAGATGTATCTTCAGGATTCACAGCAAGAGCAGGTGTGGGAGATTTGTTGGTAGGTGATTTGCTGGAGTTGGAATGCACGTCGTCGTAACCTGAGGAGAATCATCTCATTGCAGTTAGCAATTATTAAGGTACATGATTAAAAACAAGCAAAGCTTGGACCCATAAGAGGCAAATCATACTCACAATTGGATTCTTTCCAACCAAGAATCATGTTATCACGATCAAAAACTATGCTGTAACCAGTCATGAAGTTCTCTGCATGAAGATCTAGACATGATAAATGTTGCAGGTTCAAAATTTAATAGAAAACATGAATGTTCTAAGTGTTAATGCTTGAGAAATAACTCCCCGGAAGTTAGATAAATCGCTAATCGTGAAACGTTGGTGTACGATTAGTTTAAACAAACAAGTGATAACCACGACAAATCACACAGAACACATATTGCACGGTATAATAAACTTTAAGTGAAACTTCATGAGCATAAGATTTTATTAGTGACTTTTTTATGGAAAAAGGAAGAAGGTTAGATCAATTAGATACTCACGTCCAATTATATTCACGTCATCACTTTTCACGATGCCAAGGCAATATCCGGCTGGAACATCCTGGAGAGTGGACATCACAAGAATTAGGAGACTGGGAAGAGGCGTCAGATATCAGAATATATTAGTCAGACCTATGTCCTCACCTCATTATACAACACAAGTAGTGGATTAATGACATAGTAATTGTCCCCACCCTTCATAGTAAGATTCAACATGGGAACTTCGAAATTGGTCTGATTTGAACTGCAGTTAATGCGTGAGTCAGTGTGATAATTTGAGAAGACAAAGCAGAGAGAGTTGTTTCGGTATAGAAATAACAACCTTAAATCATAGCAGAACTCAAAGGGGAGATCTTCGCCAGAGCCTGATGAATGTCGGTTTTCTTTAATCATAGAATTGAACTGCAAAATAACAGCAACTGGGTTATATTCAGGACATGAATGGTGGAACAAATAATGCCATTTTGAAGAGTACAAGTTACTCACACTCGTAGTAATTTGTGTATAAGCTGGGTCATTTAGGTATGTAAACGATGTACCAGAGTCAAAAATTGCATAAAACTCAAGATCAGTAGCATTTCCTCCAACAATAATTTGAGTGATGCTGATGTTGTAGGTTGGTCTGTCAAAAGATGTTTCCACGGAAAGAAGCACAACTAGTGTGAAGCTATACATGGTATTCTACTTTCTTAACTGTTGATGTACGTATCAATTTTTTATATCAAAGTACAGAACAATAGGCACTTACTGTGATGCTCTGAGGTTGAATGGTGTTTTTCCTTGGTCTGAGCTGCCATTATCTCCAAACCTGATTCTTCCAACGCCATCAGCTCCAAAACACATGGAAAATGAATTTGAAGTGAGCCCTCCTTTAGCTAAGATGCTTGGAACTGAGATACTCTGCATGCCAAGTCCAAATAGACCATTCGGAGCTGCACCACTCAGGAATGAACCAGTTTGAATCTGACCACATCTGCATCATATGTTAGATGGCGTCCAGGTTAATAATAACGAATGGTATATTGGTAAAGATGAATGAGAATCAGACAACCATAATACTGAAATGCTTTTCAAATATTGATCTTGGAAAATTCGGTATTCTAATGAGTACCCTGCCAAAGGTTTCATGCACAGACTATGATACAAGTATCAACCTTCCCTGAGGAAAAGCTTTTAGCAAATATCCTGTAAAGTTATTTACCCAAAAGTAATACGTGCATCGTCTTCTTGTGTCTGATCATCATCTGTAATCAAGTGCAACACATCCTCTACTAGAACCCCAGAAGATGAAGTTCCATTTGAAAGATATTGAATTTGATATGGACAACTACTGCCAGATGAAGGGCACTGTCTTTGTAGCTCACAGAAGGTGCTGTTGCATAATACATTCTTGCTCGTGGAGGATGCTTCAGGACCATAGATACTAAGATTAATGGTCTGTCAGGTAGAAGAATGAAGGAAATAAATACCACCAAACAGAAAGTTCCACATAATATTTGTTTAAGATTTAAAGCATAAAAGTTGGCAAAATGACCACAATCAAAGTGATATACACATAAGACATAGCCTCCGATAAGTAATCGTGATGCAAACAGAATAAGGACATTTCATGGCAAATCAAACTATAAACTATTATTAAGATGACAAAAGTTAGTCAGGCCACCTTGTGGCTTGAAGCTGTCCGAGCAAAGATGGATATGTTTTTTTTTTTTTTTTAATACTTCTCCGATGTACTAATAATTTAAACTTCAAATTTGTGTTTGAACTAAAACAATGAATTGTATGGTGAAGCTAGAATCAGCTTCGTTTTGATCAGGATATTACAGAGAATCTATTAGTTGAGGTAAAATTTGATAGAGGAAAATTTGTTGCAATCAAAAGCTTAGATTTGATTATTGGTTAGGAACTAGCAAGATATATTTCTGCTTCTCCCTTCTCCCTCCCAAAAAATAACAATTAACTGGAATATGCAACTGCTGCAAAGGAAGGAAAAACCTTAAAAGAAAACATGAAAATAATTGAAAATGAAAGCAAATGACAAAATTGATAGCCACGGTGTACCTGTCCACTTCCAGACTGCAAAGATTGAACACAGCTGGTGCAATTGCACGGTAACCAGAATAAGTCACTTCCCGTATCCAATGCCACAAGAAACGATAAAGCTGGTGTTCCAACAGAAACATTGGCATAATGTAGACTGAAATTCAAAATAGAGGTAAATCATTAGTAACAACATTTTTACTCAAGAAGGATCCCGTTAGTGGTAATAGAATCCGTCGAGCATTCTGTTTAACCATTTTTGTTCCAACTATGATTTTTATAATATACAGTTATTGTAAATACGTCTTACACGTTGGCATGGTATCAAAGAAGCATGGACATTGTGACATTTAATGAAATATTCAAGTATAATCTGATACATAATGAAGCGTTGGTAAGTGTCCTTGTATCGGAGCAGGGTATCGATGCTTCTTTCTTGGCCAATTGAATGGTTACTGTTATTGTTATTATTTTGGCCAAACAGGATATCAACATTAACCCCAAAGAAAAATGTGTAAATCTATCAAATAAAAAATTACTTTTGTCCTATGAAACACTATAGGCCGATTGAGTAACTCGCGGGTATTATCTGAATTTCAAGCTCAATTCTAAATGCAGATGGCCAGATACTATCTAATCCGAAAGGAAAAGGAAAAATTGTGAAAGTGAGGGAGTAAAATTTAGTGGTTGAAGAAGTCGTACTATCCAAAGGAGCTAAGCCGATAAGTTTCATTGCCGTCGGCAAACGTTAGAACCGTCCGATCGCCACCAACCAGTCCACGGCCTCGGAATATGCGGTCTCGGTGGGACATAGCAACATAGTATTCCCGACTTCCCTTCTCTGGCAGGTCCTGAACACCCAGAATTCCCTTAACCGGATCAGAGAACCTGTGGTGGACATCGAACTCGAATGTCCGGACACAGTAACATCTCTGAGAAGCTAAACTCATCACCAAGAACAGTAATCTACATAGCAAACTACGACTAAAAGGATGAGCCATGAGTGGAGGCTGTGTGGAGAACTTTCGCCAGGAAAGAAAATAGCGGGAAATAGCTGAATTTTCCCAGAACCCTCTGCTCAACTGCCTGACACAAAGGCTAGTGCCCGGATGCTTATGCCAGGGGCAGCAAAAATATGCAAGGCCTCGGTCGTTGATGCAAGCGTGAAGAAGTTTGCAGCACGGAGAGAGAGAGAGGGAGGGAGGGAGGGAGGGAGGGAGGAGGGGTACGGGGCTTGATTGGAGGCTATTCATTGTTTACTTGTTTAAACCAGCCTCCTGGCCAGAAGTCCAAGTTTGCGACGATGGGTCCATGGACGTAAGGTGGGTCCCAAGTTTAAATATATTATTCAATTTCAACCTTATTTTTAATTGTATCAGAAGTTTCATTTTTACTAGCTCCTGTTGACAAATTAATTTTAAGAGAATTTTATTATAATTTTTAAAAAATTAATTTGTAAATTAAAACATAATTTTATTTTATTTTATTTTTTAATGAACTAATTTAATTTTATGTTTGAAAAGGACTGCTTGCGAGTTGAGACGAAAAGCCAGCTTTAAATATTTCATTATCCATGACGGAAAGAAATCCCATCAGTATATTTCATATATTAGTCACAGAGAATCTAGAATGCCACGGACCCAGCGCATTCTTTATACTCCCGCAATAAATATATTTGTGATTTAAATTTGAGTCAAGCATTTTATGATTTATTAATAGTACAATTTAAATTTTGTTGTCTATTTTAAGTTAATGATGATTGAATTTGATTGTTCATCACGATTAGCCAAGTGCTTCTAGCTCAATTGACATTATTCGCGCCTCTTCATACAAGGGGTCCTTAGATCAATTCCCTAACTGGATTAGGGGAAATAGTATTAGGTGTGTGCGGGGTATGATATGCTTGTGTGTGGGCCCTCTTCTTTGTGGGGAAGTATCACAATTAAGCTATAATTTAACTTCTTTTGTGTTTAGTAATATTACAATTCATACTATTTATTTTGCTTGAATTATCATATAGATTCAACTGAAAGATTATTATTTTTTCTTTTTTTCTTTTATTTCACTGACATTGTTCTTGTAAATGTTTTCAAACAAAAATCTTTTGAATTTTTTTTTCTCAAGTTAAGATTGAAAATGGATGCAAAAAAATTGAAGAGATTGACCTATTTTGAATCTCATAATTTTAAAAATAAATAACGTTTAATTAAAATTAATGAAAAGATATTGGATAATTCATTTTTTATAGTAAAAGTTACCTAATATTTCTCATAAAATAATTTCTGATTAAATTTACATCTTTATATATAATGAGGTGGAGTACATGTCATTTTCAGTCAAAAACTTGTGGGCCTCACATGGAAGTTAATTTCATTTAAGTCAAAATTAATGAAGGCTACTGTATGTTTCATTTTTAAAAATTAAAAATTTATTTTACATCATCTCATAATATAAACTACCCAATATTTTGAGAAAAAGAGTAGACAGCTAAATTTGTATTTATAGCTATGTTTTTATTAATGGTTTCATCTAATATCAATGGGAAAAGGGAGAGGAGAATTGTCCGTTTGGTTTGAGAGGGCAGAGATTTCAATTGACTCAATTTAAAAAGTTAAAAAAATAATGTTATAAAATTTTAAGAGAACAAAGTCTAAGATAAAAATAAAACGATTTTTTTTTTTGGAATTCAAAATAGTGAAAATTTTCTTATTCTCCTATCCGTTGCCAACAAGTCAAACAATAAACAAATGTGGTATTAGTCTAGGACGTTTACATGCAAATTTATTAGGATAGGACGATCACATTGCAATAGTAATAATTATAATTGAGAAAACTAAAAGTAGGGCTGATGGAGGATTGCAAAATAAAAGGGTGGAGGCGTCAGGGTTGTTGGGCAGGGCCAAGGAGACTGGCGTCATCATCTCTAATTTATATTTAGGGTGTTTTATAATTGATGGATGGCGACCACCTGTCATCGCCGTCAGCTCCGAGCGATGTCGTTTTTAATTTTCAAGTTCAAGGAACGAGCACACGCGGCTACACATTACTGGTAATTAAATTAAGTTAAATTTTAATTAAAATAGTTGAGGAGAAACAAAGCTCACGAGGCCATACCGCGTTACGTGTGGGCTCTTGTGGCCGCGTCTGACTCACCTCAGCCCCGTGGCTCCCCACTCCTCTCAGCTTTCACTTGCGGCTGCGGTCCTGGCCGGCTAGCTTTTCTCATCTTTTGACGTTTTCTTGCTTTCAAGTTTCATCATGTAATTTATGCCCATTTAATAATAGATTAAAGAAATTAAAATAAAAATAAACTAAATTATTTTCTGATAAAATTCAATATTATATAATATAAATGTAAAAATCATTACACATTTCATAAATATCATAAATTATAATTTTTAATTTCATCAACTAAATTACCTTTCCTTTTATAAATGTAATAGATTTATCTACTCTTGATCATTTGTTCTTGTCTTTGTTCTTAATTCATTTTGTTATCATCATTTTGAGCAATCAAACAAGTGCTTAATTTAGTTTCGCGTCCATCAAATATGTCGAATCAAAGTTAGATTCTAAAATAGCTCAATTTTCCTTCATTTTTTAAGCAGTGGTACAAATCAATTTTATACCAACAATTATCAAATCAAATGTGCCAATTATGAATAAAACATTTAAATTTTTAAAGTAACTAAGATTCTTGTTTGAGATTATTGAATTAATATCTGTAACTTATTTTTTAAAAAAAAACTGTCATCAAATATTCTTTGAGACTTAATTATCCTCCTGTCAAAACATAAGAGTGCAGTGTTATTATATGATTAAATAAATTGCAAAACATTACCGCGTTTACCGATGTCAAAAGAGACAAAAATAATCGCCACACACTTACCAGTATTAATTCATTCATCAAAACGTTCAACATAAGCGCGGTTGAATTTTAGGGACATGCTGGCTAGTTAGAAAAAAAAAGTGTGCATGACTTGTTAGTTTCAAACTTTCAATGTGAGGGGTTTGAACTTTGAAGGGTGTGGTTGCGTAGTTAGGACATCGACAAAGTTTGGGATAAGGACGTTGGTTGGTGGGCTCCTACTGTGTTTTCATTTTCAACCCCAAATGTGAACAACGTAAATGAAGGAAAGAGGATGAACCAAAGGCAAGCCCCACCCAATTTTTTCCAAGTCCAGTGTATCCAAGGAGTTGGATCTAATTTAATTTCAATCAAAATTATTAAAAGTTATTAAATTTCATTCTACATATGAAAACTGAAATAAAATTAAAAAATTAACTAAATTAATTTTATTGTTCCAAGTAAAGTTAAACATATATATAACTCATGTAAAGAAAATGAACAATTAATATTGATTGAATTTGTAACTCTCATCAACAACATAATACTTTTATGAATTTGCAACTCTTACTCCACCTACATCAATTGCTCATTTTCTTTATACAAATTGCTCATGTGTCTGGCTTTACTTGTTTATATTTACAATGATATTATGTTGTTAATGAAAGTTAAAAATTTCACCTACGGTAGTTACTCATTTTTTATATATTACTTATTTATTTTGCATATATTAATTATTTATATCACTGGGGACAAAAAGATTATTTTAGTTATCTCTTTAATTTTATTTTAGTTCCCCTTGTGTACAGTAAAATTTTAATGGCTTTGACTGAAATTAAGTTGGATCAAGAGATTCTCACTCAAAGCATCACGCCATGAGGATCTTAAAACAAGAAAATGATAATAAAATCTAAAAAAAAGTGATGATAATTATATCCCTTGCAAAAATTCCTGCAAAATGGGGTATAAAAATTGATTCAAACAATTGTAAAAAAAAAATCCTAATTATAAATTGAAAATTATATTTAGATTGTAACTATGTTATTTTTATTAGAACATCCAAATTTACAATTATTTAAATAAATATTTTAATCTTATTTTTTAAATAAAAATTTACGAGGAACTTAACTATTATCAATTCCTTCTTTAAGAACTTTAATGTCATTCACTATGTTGACGTATTTTTAAAAAGGAGAATGAATAACAATGAAACCCAAAAAAATGAATTAATGATATATAAATTTTTAACAATTTTTTTTAAAAATAACTAACAAATATTTATTCAAATAATTGTAAATTTTTTTGGTCAAAAAATAATTACAAATTTAAATGTTCTAATTACAAATAAAATATTTAAATTTTAAATACCACTCTCAATTTAAATCAAGTTTTACAACCTTTTTTCTAAAAAAAATTTTACCATAATGATCATTGAATTTTTTTTTTTTTGGGCTTTGCTGCCATTTTATTAAAAAACCTTGTGACGTGGCGTAATATGGACCAAGCGATTATTTAACCGCACGATTTGAACATTCTGAAAGCCTGTGCGAGAGAGGCGAAAATGTGAGGATCCGCACCCGTGTATCGAGACCATTATCGTCGTCCACTTTGTGTGGCCCTACAAGAGAGCCACGTTAAGCTCAGTGACCTGTCACCGTGGAAGCTTTTCCCAACTGTGGACTTTTTTATGCTAATGTTCGCTTTCTCCGCAATTTTCATTGTTTATTTTTAGAAGGCCGTTGACGTTTTGGCTGAATGATTCAGATCTTGGAATCCATCATCAAAGCCTTCAACACACACGGCTTTAATTGGCCTCACCTAATTGGCACCTAACTCACTCATCACATTCTGCATCTACCACACAACCAAATGTTGCCGCATCATCGTCCATAATTCACGATTGAATCAGCGCCTATTCACTTCATAATAGTCTTACAATTTTTTGTTACTAATTTATTAAAAAATGGAAAATTACTTATAAGTTCCAAATAAAATATTTATTTACAAGTATCAACTGCCAATAATCGTTGATCGGTCAAAGAAAATATTTTTTGAAAAATATTTTAAAATATTAATATTTTAGTATTTACATATCAAACATTATAGATTTATAGTAAATGTTCAAGATTTTCAAATCAAATTAAATTTACAAGTCAATTTCGTACAATATTAAACTAAATTTTAAAGAAATTTGACTGACGAATCTTAAGATTTTTTTTTTGTAAATCCACTATGTTTGATTTCTAAACATTGAGCTATTAATGCTTTCAAAAAAGCAATTATTTTTTTGACCAGTAGACAATCAATAGCAATCGGTCAACATGGATTAGTGCCAATCAAGAAATGAGTTGAAAGACATTTG